TTTAATACAGAGTTGCTTGTGAGTGGCCGGTCAAGTAAACTGAATTAGTTAACTGAATAAATAATAGAAGTTTAGATCATTCTGAGTTGTGTAACTGTCTTCATTTTTATAATCGGTTTTCAAATTTATTTATTGGATTCATAAGGCTACCCATGACCACAACTCTACACAGCATACATCAATAAAATCAGAAGAAAAAAACCTAATAGCAACAATAACATTGTAAAAAATAAGATGTCATTATCAAAGAATTGGGGCATATCAACACACATTCTCCTCCCAAATTTGGGCTCCCCTACTATCTTGGCCTTAACACCTAGGGAGCCACTTAGATGTACTGGTGAAAATGCTGAGGTATAAACCAAGAAAGTGAGAATTATAGGCTTCCCTTAGCTTTGAAAGCTGGTTGGGTGGCCAACCACCTCCCAAAGTTATTTTTGTAAAAACATAGGAGGAAGAATTAGGTAATAGGTATGTTCATCACTTTCAGTATGATAGATAGATAGATAGATAGATAGATAGATAGATAGATAGATAGATAGATAGATAGATAGGCTAAAATAGTAATTATATTATTAAACATCATCTACCTATCCTGGTTGCTTGGGAGAACTCAACAGGTGGGCAAAAATTCCAAATATATATAAAAAGTCAGGATAAAATAGTAATTACATTATTATTAAACAACATCTACCTATTCCAGATGCTTGGGAGGACTCAATAGGAGGACATCAATTCCAAATCCAATCTAAACATCTGGCTGACTCTGTGACCAACCATAATAAAAATGTCTCCTATATACAACTTTCTGACTAGTCTAGAAAGATACCATGGACAGGTGTGTTGAAACCTCTGAGAAATCAAGGTAGGCCAGAATGGATGCAAATCTGGGAGTTATTCCAACCATACAAATATATAATGTAGGTGAGAGGACATGTAGATATGATAGCTAAAAAGGCATACATACAGAATCCACAATTGGGTAATAAATTATCACACAAAATATTTTATCTGAATTCAATTTCTCTGTAATTCTTCATCAGGCAGAATATTACCAAAAATCTTTTAAAAATATGCCAGGAATTCTCAAGGCGATACTTGGATATTAATGCCTTCCTCTAACATTCACAGTGAAATAAACAACGGCCTTCCCAATACTGCAAACCCAAAGGGTTTCCCTCCATGATAGTTTGTCTACCCAAACACCTAAATAATATTGCCAATTGGTGAGTAAAAAGAAGGAGAAGGTTCAGGAACCTCCTTTCTTAATGCTATTCTTCCATGTGTGCCTGTATATAAGTTATGCACTGAAAGGAAGGTGAAGATCTGCACAAGGGCAAGTGTGCGGAAGCTGTTCACATCCCCTAGCCTGAGGCTGCCGGGTGAGGAACAGGGCAACATCAGGGTCGGCAGGTTATCGGATGATAACAAGGCAGTACAACCCAAGCACGCAACTTCCAGCAATGCAAGCCTGTTTCCTTTGTTTTGGGAAAACAAGCACAAGAACGAGACCTTTTCTGGAATGTTGTTGCCTTGCCAAAAGGGTCTCCCAACTGGACCAGCACAAGCGAAAAGCTATTCTCCTCTAAACCCCCTTCCCTGGACATACATAAAGACATGGAAGCTTGTAAAGATGAGCAGGAAGAAGGTGTGAAGCACATTTCTGCTCCTGAATTCTGAAACAGCAAAATGAAGGGGCTGCAAAACGAACTCCAGACTAGAACCATCCTATTGCAGAGAATTAGGGCGTTCACCATCTGTGCTCCTGAAGAGCTGCATATATTACTACAAAATTAAAGACTCAGTAGGTGGTTGATGGGAAGAAAGCCATCTAAAAATACCAAAGGTCAATTAATAAGGTTGATTGCAAGCATTTGAAAATATTTCAGTAATGCAATGGTGATAAGGAGAGGCAAATACCATTTTTAGACCATATTAACATAAACTGTCAATGGAGTGATACACAGTGAACTGTGTCTTTCTGGTAGAGCATGGGGGGGTCAAACTCGGTTTCATTGAAGGCCGCATCAGGGTTGTGTTTGACATCAGCGGGCCGGAGTGGGCATGGCCAGACTGGGCATGGTCAGCTTGAAGTCACTCATGTCGGGGGCGCCTGTGGTGGCTCGAGCACTCTGCCAGAGAAAACAGGCTCCCGAGCTCCATTTTTGGCTGCAACAGCCTCCTGCAACCCTCTGCCAGCGAAAACGGAGCTCCTAAGCTCCGTTTTTGCTGGCAGAAGCACCATGGGCCAGTCCTTTGCTGTTTCTAGGGTGCCCCCATGGGCCAGACCTAAGTACCCCTAAGGATCCGGCCCCCGGGCCTTGAGTTTGACACCCCTGTAGGGGAGTATGAGCTGCATTGGCTACCAGTTTCTAACAAACCAATTTAAGGTACTGGTATGGCTGCTTAAAGCCCTCTATGGCATGGGACCAGGTTATTTGAGGAACCACTTTTCTATGATTTCATCCATCCATCTCACCAGATCTCAATGAATGGGTAAGTTATGAGTTCTGATTGTACAGGGCTAGATGTCTGTTGTGGCATCACCATTGTGAAATCTTCTCCCTCCAGGATAAGGTTGGCCTCATCGTTTCACAGCTTCCAAAGGCCCCTCAATACCTGCTTATGCCAGCAGGCTTGGGAACTGTAAGGATGGTTGAACTCAGGAGATGGCTCTCTTATTATTAACCTCAGTTTATTATTCTATTCTCCTCTTTTGCTTCTCCTCTTTGCTTCTATAATTTTTAATTCCTTTTAATCATATATATAACAGTTTTAACTAATGATTGCCTTACTGCCTCTTTTTACTGGATTGTTGTATATTGCCCAAAAGCACATTTCATGAGAAGGCCATCCATATAAATTTGATTAATAAATAGAAATAAATAAAAGCACAAAAGGTGGCCTTGCTTTACTTGGAGTGGTATGTCTAGCATTGGCCACCTGGGTATGAGGAACTGAGGGTCTTTTAAAAAAATATTATCTTATCTTATCTTATTGATAGGTTGTGTCTTCTGTGCATGCCCCATATATCACAATGTAGGTTGATTTACCATTGCTACTCATCAAGTATTTCCTGCTAAATAGGAATACCAGAAGACTCCAGCTACCTGACACTGGACAGCTTTAGTTACCCTTGGCCAAACTGGCTTCATCCAGCTATGATGAAATAACACCCAGAATTCTCAGCCAGCAAAAGATTGGAGGTCCCAATTCATCTGAAGACAACTTGGCTAGAAAAGGGGGTGTTTTTGATGCTGTGACAATTTAAATACATTGTTTTTAAATTAATACTACCTTTTTATTTCCTGCTTATTAGAAACATTAGATTTGGATTACATTGTGTTATTATTAGCTGTACCATGGAGTAATTCTGGGGAAAAGATTAGAAATATCAATAACCAAATCACAGATGGCTGTTTTACTGTATTAGACTATAGATTTCTACAGGTCTTTATGGCATTACATTCATTGCAGTAAACAGATAGCAGATACCCCTCTCCCCCAAAGTTCTGAGAAGAGGTTTTTTTTAAAAATATATATATATCTGATTTTGAGAGTATTTCCCTGGTATAAAATAAAGGTTTCATATTTAGGCTGGAAAAGTCAAGACAATCACGAGGTGGCTTGCAAAGAAATACAGCTTTGTTGTCATCTATTGGTCATCAGGATTTCTAAAGCCCAGATCGTAGAGTCCTAAAATAAGACCCATCAATACAAATTAATGTTTTAAACATAACAATTAATGTCTCCTGCATATATCGTATCATTAAAAAATGTCAACTATTTAAAGTGTTTGAGAGAAATTCAATTATATCTAAATTCATTCTTCAAAAGCTTGTTGACATTGTTTCCTGAAGTTGAATTGATGTCCTTCCATAAAATACCACAATAAGGGTCACACTTAGCTGGTTGGAGCCATATTTTATTGAACCAGCCACAATGGCTGGGTTCACACATTATGCTGTCCTAAACATACTGTAGTTTATAAAAATTTAAAATACGATGCTATTCATAATAACGACTCTAATGCAAAAAAATAACATTTTGATTACATGAATATTCTCCTATTTGTTTAAGAACTAAATAAAATAGAAAATGAGACTTCACAAAGCAATTAATTAAACTAGTCTTTTAGAAGACACTTTAAGTCTATCTATCCTACTGTTAGATCTTTGGGACTCTTAAAATTCATGATATAAGTGTTACAGGTAAAAACAGATTTAAAGATTTCTGACTATTTATCCAAACCACTACTATTACTTTCAATTTTTGGGGGGGGGAGGGGAGCTGATAGATCCCCATGAACCTCATTCAGCATTGAGATTACAAATGTATACGTTAACAGAACAGCGCAGTTCAATTTAAATCCCAATATACACATACACGTTCTTTGCACTGCCTCAANTGTGTGTGTGTACATGTATATAAATGTATATATATATATATGTATGTGTATTTATATATGTGTGTATATACATATGTGTGTGTATGTACACACATCAAACATAGCGTAAAAATATAGGAATATGTTTTTATTCATACACACACACAAACAAACATGCACACGTATGTATAAAATCACCATATCTCTATGTTTGTACACTGTTCTGTATTACACTAAAAACACTATTCTGACAATTGATGATCTTCTGACAATTGATTATCAGCGTAGCCTTGCTCCTAATTTCGCTCACTTAGTTAATAAGGTTTGCTTTATCTTCACTTTACATGTTATATGAAAGTCAATTGTAGGCTATTTAGTAAACCAAGGTAAACAAGCCATTTACCACTACCAGAACTAGAGCATCTTCCAAAAGCTACAAATAGAAAAGTGACACTTCAATGTATTACATCAATATTGCCTTTAATTTGTGCCTATGCAGCAATTCCAAATCCAAGGAGATTTTAGGAATCTTCTGATAGCCAAACATCATTATGTCCCTAGAACAGAAATTTTCAACTTTTCCTCTTATCTCTGAAAACATTCTTCAACTCACCATCTCCTGAGGTGCTGCCCCACAGTGAAAATCCCAGTAGAAGGGCAATCCTAGAAGTTCACTCTTCACATGGAGTATCAGTGTGCTGGAGCTAAGCTGACAGGAGAAGGAGACAGAGCTGTTCTCTTTCCCTTCCAAGAGAGGAGATAACAGGTTGTGCAGGCAGTTCAGAATGGAGGCTGCAGGAGCAGTTAGCCGTTTATTCAACTCCTACATAAAATGAAATAACAACAACAACAACCTGGCCATCAAAACTACATAGCTATGGATGAAACATGTAACGATTATACCCATTGTCATTGGGGCACTTGGCACCATGTCCAGGAATTTTATAAGATACATCAACAAATTGCAGGTTCCTGGAATAACACCAGCGGAACTGCAAAAAACTGCGCTGCTCGGAACATCGTATATTTTAAGAATGTACTTGGTTGATACCTAGGACGCTGGCAGCCAATCCATATCAACCATTAGCACCAGTCAATGATATTTGTGATGCATTTTTGAATATTCAGTTGGCTGAGTTTCATGTTTAATGAATAAAGTAAATAATAATAATAAGTAGTAGTTATGGTTAACAACAGGTACATTAAAGAAAGAAACAGATTCACTAATCCTGGCTGCGCAAGAACAAGCTATCCGCACAAATGCCATTAAGGTCAAAATCGAAAAATCCTCTAATGATGCCAAATGCAGACTTTGCAAAGAAGCTGATGAAACTGTTGATCACATACTCAGCTGCTGTAAAAAA